CTAGTTCTACTTATGGCAAAGTGTGTGAATCTTATCTTCTAAAACTGAGGCAGCAACAGATGCAGCCTACTGCATATAAAACAGATGACTAACAAGGATTTACTGAATAGCACGGGGAACCATATTCAATATCTTGTAATATTGAATATTTATATATAACTGAATCTGCTATACACCTGAAACTAACACAACATTGTAAATAAACTATACTTCAGTTTAAAAAAAGAACAGATAAATCCAAAAGAATCAGGCAGCCTAGATCTGATGTAAACTCAATATGTTAATTTCATATTTTATCCAAAACATGAGAAAACCTCATCAAACATATGCTGAAGGTTGGAATCGATAGATAATGTGCAGGAACATTTGGACAGGAAGTAATCCATGTCTGAGACTCAATTTCCAGTAAGTGCAGTCAATGTGCGAGGCATCGTTCTATGGCCATGATTGAGACAGACAAGGAAACTTTCTCCTGGAGCCTAATAATAATGTAAACACCATAAGTGATAACTTGCTGTGACGAAAGCTAAACATAGGGATCCAACAGAGAGCAGTGGGGGCTTGGACGACTTTTTTAGATGGGGTGACAAGGAAAGAGACATCTGACCCAAGGCCTGAGGGATGAGAAGAAGCCAACCATGGGAAGATCTAGGGGTTCCAGGATGAGGAAACAGCAAGTGCAAGGCCCTGAGACAGAAGTGAACTTGGTATATTTGAGGATGTGAAATAACCAGAGGAGTAAGTGGCAAAGGGGTGAAGACAGGAGGTGAGGCGGGAGGTGGCAGGAGACAGATCACACCAAACCTCTAGGCTACCGTGAGGACTTGGGATTGTATTCAGATGACCTGGGAAGCAAGAAGTGGAATGATCAGAGTTTGAGAGGCCTCTGTGGGGGCTGGGAAGAGAATGGGCTGTGGAAGACCCAGAAAGGAGGCTGCTGCCATCTCTGCTGTGTCCAGGTGAGGAAGGATGGTGGCTCAGTCAGTGTGACAGCAATGGGGATGGGAGAAGGGAGGACTGGGGGTCGACCTCAGGCCTCCTGGCTCTGGGCCTGCTGACCTTTCCCCTGCACCCCGGGGCCTGTGAACTTGTCTCCCCGGGGTGGCTGAAAGATCCTCCAAGCAAAGCTGACATCTTCACATTATGGATTCATTCCCAACAGGTCAGTTGACCAGAGACTACAGACCCGACCCTAAAGTCTACATTCAGCTCATTAAAGAGTGTGAGTCCCTGGGGAAAGAGGGCGAGTTCTCCCCCTGCTTCACAGAGCTGCAGCGAGCCTTCCTGAGGGACCGTCCAACCAAGCTGAAGAGCCTCATCCGCCTGGTGAAGCACTGGTACCAGGAGGTACGGCCGCCCTATCCAGACAGGGAGAGAGGAGGAGGAGGACAGAGAGCAGGACAAGAGTGAGGACAGGAGCAGGAGGGAGGGGAGGGGAGGGACAGGTGTTGGGAGGCAGCAGGGATGAGGCAGGGGGAAGCGGAAGAAGGGAGGGGAGGGGAGAGGTGAGGAGGAGGGGAAGGAGGAGAGGAAAGGGAAAGGATTCGGAGGTAGGAAGGAGATGGACAGAGAGGAATGGAGTGGAGGGAAAAAGGAAGGATGGGAGAGGACAGTGGTCAAGGAGGGAGAGGACAGAAGGGACAGGAAGGCAGAGGGGCTGAGGTTGTGTGGAGGAGGGTAAAAGGAAGGGAGAAGGGTAGGGCCTGGGACAGGGATGGGTGTGTCCAGGTATCTCATTCCTCCTGGTCATCCTGTATCAGGAAATGACAACCCCATGTTTCCAGTTCCTCTGGACAAAACCCATGGGTATGTCTTATCTTACACACACACACACACACACACACACACACACTCATCCAACCAGTCAACAAATGACTTCGTCCTGTATCTAAAATACATCCACTGTCACCAACTGTCACCACCTCTATCACTGCCACCCTGGCCCAAGTCACTTGGAAGGCCCACAGGATCTGCCTTTGACCTCTCTGAACCCCCATCTCTGCCCCTTCACCATTCCCCGACACTGTGCCATCCCCCTTATTGTTTCTCCAAAAGGGAAGTTCTGCTTCAGCCTCAGGGCCTTTGCATGAGCTTGTTTCTTTATTGTCTGTCCCCCACAAAAAAAAAATGTCCATAAGAGAAGGAATTTGGATATTTTATTCACTGCTGTTTCCTCAGAACCTACAAGGGTGCCTGGCACATAATAGGTCCTCAGGAAGTAATTGTTCAATAAATTGAATGGAAACCCCACCCCACGCCCACATCCTTCTGCCAACTTCCTAGCTGTCTCAGTTTAGGCAAGTGACTTCACCGCTTGTGCTTCCTGTTTTCTCACTTGCAAAAAGTAACATGCTACGGCAGCAGTAAACCACATACCATGGTGACCCCTGTGTAGATTGTTTGGGGCGCTATGCACGTCTTAACTGTATTAATTCCTGGAACCCAAGAGTCTGGCGCACCTTTCCATTTATTTGTATCTTCCTCAGTTTCTCTCATTAACGTCTTAAACACTTCAGAGTGCAGGCCTTTCACTTCTGTGGTTCAATTTACTCCTCGGGTTCTTTTTTTTGATTCATTTTGATGCAACTGTAAATGAGATTGTTTTCAGATTTCTCTTGCTGATAGTTTGTCATTCATGTATAGAAATGCAATAGGTTTCTGTATATTTTTTTGTATCCTGTAATATTCCTGTATTCAGTGTGTCATTCTAAAAGATTTTTGGTGGCTCTTTAGGGTTTTCTACGTATAGTCTCTAGTCATCTGCAAATAGCAATAGTTCAAATACTTCCTTTTAAATTTGGATGCATTTTGTGTATCTATGTCTGATTGCTATGGTAGCATGTCTAATACTCTTTGGAATAAGTATGGGGAGAGTGGTTATATCTGTCTTGTTCTTGATCTTAAAGGAAACGCTTTTAGCTATTTACCATTGAGTATGATGTTAGCTATGGGTTGGTCATATATGGCGTATACTGTGTTGAGCTATGCTTCCTCTATAGCCATCTTGTTGAGATTTTTGTACTAGAAGTGGATGTTGAATTTTCTCAACTATTTTTCCTATATCTGTAGAGACGATCATATGATTTTTACCCTTGGTTTTGTTAATGCAATATATCACATTGATTGATCCGTGGATATTGAACCATCCATGAATCTCTGGAATCAATCCAACTTCGTGACGGTGTATGATCTTTCAACATATTGTTAAATTTGCTTTGCTAATGTTTTGTGGAGGGTTTTTACATCTATGATCATCAGGCTGATAATTTTCTTTTTTTGTAGTACCTTTGGTTTTGGTATCAGGGTAATGTTCTCCTCATAGAATGAGTTTGGAATCATTTCTTAATCCTCAGTTTTGTGAAATAGTTGGAGAAAAACAGGCATTAATTCTTCTTTTAAAAATGCTGAACAAACACATTTTTCTAATTTTTTTTTCCCCTTCTCAGTGTAAGAGCAGGAATGGGAAGAAACGGGCACTGCCCCCGCAGTATGCCCTGGAGCTTCTGACAGTCTACGCATGGGAGCGAGGAAGCCGGAGCCCAGAATTCAACACGGCTCAGGGATTTCGGACAGTCTTGGAATTAGTCCTGAAGCATCAGGACCTTTGTATCTACTGGGAAAAGTATTACAGCTTTGAAACCCCTATTATTGGAGATTACCTGAAGAAGCAGCTCGGGAAACCCAGGTACTGTGTCCCCGCATGGCTGAGCCCCCCACGTAAATGAACCCCTGCCCACAGCGGTGGCACCTTGGAAATGCAGGGAGTGGGAGGGCTCCCCATTTATTGGTCATCATCAATTACTAATCACTGTGCTGGGCACGTGACTCCTACCATCTGATTTAAATAATCACCTTGATCCCTGCGAGGCAGGCACCATGCTAACCATTTTACAGATGACTGAGGTTTGGAGAAGTATGAGCTTGCTGTAAGACTAACACACTGTAATAGAAGAGTAAAATGTGGGTTATTAACACTGAGAGGTATTGACCTTCTGTTACGTTCCAGTCACTGTGCTGAGCATTTTGCATGCTCGTCTATCTCCTCCTATGACCACCTTTGAGGCAGGTTGCTTACATCTCCCCATTTCACGAATGAGGACACTGAGGATGAGAGATTCAAGTTAACTGCCCGAGGTCACAGCACTAAGAAAGGGCAGAGGTGAGAGTCAAACCCAGGTCCATGAAGACTCAAAAGAAAAGCTCTTTCTCCTTGTGATCAATACCCAGCATAGGGCAGGCACTCGGGACACAGCCCTGGGAGCCAAGCCCTGCGGGGCCCCTCCTGCTGCCTGGGTCCCAGCCTGCGCAAGGTTGGGTCTTTGCTCTGCCTGGATCTCTGGCCTCCCAGAGACACCCCAAGACCTCACTTGGCCCTCTCTAACTGTTACTCTTCAGGCCTGTGATTCTGGACCCGGCTGACCCTACTGGAAACGTGGCTGGTAGAGACCCAAGCAGCTGGCAGCTACTGGCCCAAGAGGCGGCAGTCTGCCTGGGGTATCCATGCTTTAGGGAATGGAATGGGTCTCCTGTCAGCGCCTGGAAAGTGCAGTGAGTCCTCCTGAGTTTTTAATGTGAGCTGATACTGATCGTGCATTATAGTAACAACTTCGAGAAACTTTGTGTTAAAGTCAATTTCTCCTGTGTCTTTCTACTCTTTTAAAGGAGTTACTAGAAAATGTCACATTACACCTTTGGTTTGCCTGATATGATGTTCTGCCCTAGAAGGTGAATCACTGGATTAGACAATGGGCTTACCAGTTTACATTGTCACTCTGTCACACTGTCTCCGTACGAAAAAAACAGCATCCCATTTACAAGCCTATCCTTTAAAAACTCCCATAAGTACCCAGCCAAGAACCAAGCACGTTCTTAGCACCGGGGTGGCTGGAGAACAGTCCTTGGCTTGTCCATCTCACTGTTCCTCCTTTGAGTCCTCCAGCACCTCTGGGAGATGGGTTTTGTTCTTATTCTCATAATAAGAAATTGACATGTGGGCACTCGCTCAGGATCTCCTGGCTAGTGAGAGACAAGAGCCTCAACTTGAACCCTGGTCCTTCTCACTCTGAAGCTCATGCTCCTAATCGCCGTAGTGTGGTCTTCATGCATCTTCAGTCGTGGAATTTCTATGCTTCCCTCTCTGGTGACCATGAGAAGGGATCCAGCAGAGCCCCAACTAGAGGGAGTGTAATCAGCTGAGGGCCCCAGCTGCTCCCTCTCAGATCCGCCTGCACGTTTACTGCCTACCGGCAGCTCCCAGCCAGTGACCGGGGGTGGCAGGGATACGAAGGCAGCCCCCTCCCTGCAAGACACAGGCCCTCTGATGAGTGACCTTGGCCCCAGGGCGCCCCACTGGCCTCGCGGGATCTTCTCGAGACTGCAAACCACAGTCCTTCCATCTTTCCTTCACCCAGAGTCAGACTGGATCGGGGCTGTCAGCTTTCCCAGCCTCTCCCAGAGCCCTGCCCAGTATCTCTCACGTGGGCGTTTCTCCCTGTCAAAATCCCCGACATTTAACTCTCCACCGGCATCTGCTTCTTGGAGTTACCCAGACCGACCCAAGCCCTTCTGCCGCCACCGTCAAGGTAGCTGTGGGCTGTTCCGCAAATCCAGGCTGTGATAAAGGACTGAGGCCCACCCTGGTCATCTCAGTTCATCACCTCTTCTCAGTCAATGTCACTGCGACCAGGCGGCTCCTAGAAGAGGCCACCACCTCCGCCTCTCTCCGCCCCGTCTCCAACCTCACAGCTCCTCCTGGGCGGTCCTGCTGTCCTCATCAAGCCTTTCTCTTTTTGTATTTTCTGACGCTTTGGCACCTGGGGCCTTGCTGATCCTGGACAGACCGCCCTCCTGGGGCCCCTTACTTCCTAGACACAGCACCCAGCTCCCCAGAGAGCTTGCCTTTCCTAGGGACACCTGTTCAGCAATTCCAATCTGACCCACAGCCCAGACTCAGAGCCACTCTGGGCCACTGTGCCACCTGCCCCGCTCACCCCAGGACCAGACACCTGAGGAAGACCCCCACTCTCCAGAGCCCACATAGCTGAGTCACACAGGCCCAGCCAAAGACTGCCTTCCCTGCCTGGCCTGGCCTGGCCCCGGGAAAGGTCCCCATAAAAGCTCTTGGCTGTGCTTCCTTCCAGATCCATCTGCCTCATGAAAGACCCTGGTGCTTCCCACGTGGCCCTGCATGGCAGGGTGCCTCCTGCTTCTACAAATCTGTGAGGTTCATATTGAGATATTGTCTTTAACGTCAACACAATAAGTGTCACTGAGAAAAAAAAAAGACTAAGAGTCCTGTAGTCTCTCCCTCCCACCTGTTACAGTTTGGGACTTGACTCTCCAGGCTTTTCTCTGACTCTGCCTATTTCCCTGTCTCTGTGGAGTTTTTCTAAAAATGGGATTCTGCTCCCTGTGGGGTTGTGTTACATGCCTGGTCCCCATTTATCACAGCTATCCCTCCACGCTGAGAGGAAAATATTGGAATCACACGTGAGGCCGGACTGTATATTACAATCTGAGTGATCCACTTGCGTTGTTTTCTGAGAGTGTGTTATCATTATAAACGATGCTACAGTCATTAGTCCGTTAACTGAATGAGTAAATACTCAAATGCTTAATTGAGAAGCCACATAGA